TGAGGTTGTATAGACCATTTTTTACCCTTCGACAAATTGTGAATCACCGGCATGTTTTCGTAAACCCACCATTTCAGTTCTCTTAGGTCTCAAAATGGCTTTCGACTCGGTCGATAGCTACAAACTCTGGTGCTACCTTTCCCAGAAGGTTGTGTCCGAGAACTTTTGTTCAATATTACAATCCCTTTATACTAATAGACGAAGTCAAGTTCCAGCTGATGGTAATTTTTCGCCATGGTTCACTACGGAAAGTGGTGTTTACTATGGTTGCCCTCTATCTTCTTTTCTGTTTAGCTTCATTATTGTCTGCTGGAACAAATGGTCAACCTACATAGAATGCTCTTTTTGGGACGTGTTGCGCATGTCACCAACTAGATTGGCATATCTCACAATGGTTACCGAGGCAGGGAGCAGACAGGAGAAATCAAGGGTATAAAAACCCTAACAAAGAGACTCGAACACATGGGTCCCGTTAGGTTTCCTGGATGCTGATCTCGATATCACCGTAACAGGTGGTGAGGGATACCGAGTGATGTGGCTGAGTATCGCAAACAGTGGCGCTCATGCATCTGCTCAATATTCTTGCAACCCCGGTCTATAACATGACAGAGATCACAGTTGTGCTCGTGGTAAAGAGATGATCAAGGAACTAACTAACCAGCTATGGGGTGGTGGCTGCAGATTCGATGGTTAAGACGGTTCGTATATCTGCCGAATGGTTTCATGTTAGATCCGTTCAAGAAGATGACGAGGACGAGAATACGAACGTTCACCTCACCGGTGACTGCACTGTTTCAGTATAGAGTTGGTTTGAGCTTTGTATAGATGAAGAACGTGAACGAACGTAAAGAAGTGTTTGACTAGGACTGGAAACTCAGCTTTTCACGCTGTGCGAGAGATAAGTGGGGATGGAAATGGAGATCAACACGGTGAAGGATTTATGGATAAACCGGGAAAAGGTCAAGAATCTGTCTAACACAGGGGAAACCAGACGAAATTCAACTGAAAATAAGTGACCTATCTTTGACGATGGAATGTTTCGGGGAGTGTGGTTGATAGAATCCTGCGTGGAAATTAGTCCGACATCGAAGGTAGGTCCTGCAATCATGATCGATGCTGTTGGTGGTCTAGCGAGTCATTGGGTTGGAAAAAGAACAATGAAGATTGGCACGGTCATTATGGGGTTAGACTAAAATGTTAACAAATATCACTAAAGGTGTGGGCACTGTCATCGAATCTTGGGATATGGCAAGCTTGCGGTATAGAAGTATGTAGTCGACAACGTAGGGTGGCATCGTTTGAAGTTAGTGTTTTCCAGTTTAGTTCGGCGAACACCTGCACCCGGATTGCGGACAGTTTGTTGAATACTGCCTCTACTGCTAAACATCATTCTATGCATAAATCCTTCGGCCTTGAAGTACACATTTTCATTGTCCATTCAATCTTATACATCCCCTCTTCCCTCGTGGACAGCATCTCTTCCGGTTTTCATAACAAATCACAAGGTAATCCGATTGGTGCTTCCATGGGTGGATCGATGTACAACTGGACGACAACGTATAACAATGTGATCGACAGAAAGGCATCGTTCAGTACTCGGGTAAGCTGATTCCACCTGAGTTTGGTCAGTGTGTCATTCACGTATACTACTTCGCTATTGACACCTTCGTATTCGATTGTTTAGTGCGGAACATCTTCCGTCCTATTCTTCTGTGTTTCTTTTATGGCTTTCGTTTGACTTTATATCATCCATTCTCTTCACCCCCCCCCCTTTGACCG